AAGCCAGGCTCTGGAGTCGCTCTAGGCAGGCAGGCAGGCAGGCAGGCAGACCCATCACCCCACTGCCTCGTAGGGAAAGCTGCCTTATGCTTTCCTCTCAACCCATTTATTCTTGCCTCAAAAGTTTGTTTTGTGTGTTGATTCTCATTCATTCCCTCTTCATGTCCAAACCACCTCATGTACTTTTTAGCCCTCTCATTTACAGTTAAACCTACGTTTCCATTTCCTTGTATGTGTGCATCGAATCCACTCCCAAAGATCAGATATCTTTATTCCCATTTATTTCACCCTTCCTCTTCCTCTCAGTTTTAGACACACCACAGAACTGTTTTTTCTTGCTCTCATTTCATTCACTGATTCATGCTCTTTATGGCATGCTGCTCTTGCATTCCAAGTCACCGTCTTCCATGTGGCATGGTTGTCACCACCAGATGGGCCCATAAACCTTGACCTATGCTCCCAGTTGTGGCTTTGGTCAACCAAGGCTTTCACATACTGTAACGCTTTTTGGCAATGTCACCAAGTTACCAGCATTCCCTGGAGGGGCAAACTGTCACGCAGGATTGGTTGGTTTGGGTGCCAAAGGGTGCGCTCACTGTTCTCAGCAAACTGGGTTCTCTACTGTAGGGGCAGCCTTGCAAGCCAACACAACGGTCGCCCGTAAGAAGTCTATTTATTTATTTGATTTATTTATTAATCACTTTTATACCACCACCCCTCTCACACAAGGCAACTCTGGGTGGTGTACAACAACTGAATAAAACAGCAAATAGATAAAAAACAATCATTATAAGAGGATAAAAAGTAATTATTGAAATATTATCAAAATCCTTCTGATCGTAGCAACAGAGGATAAAATGGGGAGAAGAGCATGACAGATGCCTCCTGGAGAGAGACAGAACGCCACCCCTGAGCGCTGGGAGTCTAGAAGGACTTGCAGGCACCCCCTCCCTCTGCACTGGCCTCGGGCTTGTAGGTTTGCTCACCGTGCTGCCTGCCTGTCTCATGTCCTTCTCGCCTTCCCCCCACCCCACTTCTTTCCCTGCAGACCGTGTACGATGAATGGTTCATCACCCTTTACAACATGGTGTACACCTGTTTGCCAGTGCTTGGAATGAGCCTCTTTGACCAGGTATGGCTGGCTCGCAGAGCTCGGCCCTAAGATTTTGCAAGCTTTCAGCCCATGAAACTGAAGGAAGAGCAATAGACCAAGAAGACTTGATGGAGTAGATGGAACCTCCATGCCAGAAGCATGGGTCCAATCTCCAGAGGCCCCCTGTTTTGTCTCTGTTTACAAAGCAGGGTAACTTCAGCTAGACATGTAAGTCCATGGGCTTGTCCCACATCATCTCAGCCCTGCCGCATGAGAACAGGTTTTTACTTCAGAGCAGTTAAGAAGTGATCTGGATATGGAGGACTTGGCCATCTATCCTTGGCTGTGGTCAGAGCACTTTCTGGGGTCTATAGAACGTGCAGACGGTGAGCACCATAAACCTCTGCATGGGTGAGGGGTTGTTAAGGTATCCATCCAGGTGGTTAATGGATCCTCACTGTTTCCAGAGGCACTTGGGAATTCCTTGACAATTTGGCAAGCTACTCATTCTTGTTTTGGTTGATTTCTGATGCAAGGAGACAACCAGAGGTCTGGATGAGGTGGCATCTCACAGTGTCTTTCCATTGGTTGATCATGGCCAGCTCTAGGGAGATGAAGCAAGTGAAAAACCTAGGAGTAAACATGACCAAGAATAGGAACATGCCGATGTTTTGGTCTACAGTGGCAATAATTCTTCTCAATCTTTATTGTGTCCACATATTCCCACCCAGCAGCCCTGTCAGGTTGAACTGGTCCCTGCTGGGAAAGAATGGGGAGGATAGGACTCCTGCAAGATACTCTCAAGTTTTTATGGGTTTCTTTGCAGATAGAATCTCCAGTATTTTCTCAGGGTTGGACCCAACTGGGCAGAGCCAGGCAAGGTGATGTGAGTGGGGATTCTTCTGAGCTTGGGGAACCAGTGGATGTGGTGAGGATCCTCTGAGGTATGAGCTCAGCCACCTGCGCGCTGGGCCCATGTGCCACCCAGCTCTTGGGAACAGGGTTGCCAGAATTTGAGATGACTCTTTGAGGGAGGTCAATGTGGCCCCAGGCTTGAAGGATGCAGTGTTGCATCCTTTCTTAAAGAGGCCATCTCTTGATCCAGCCATACTTGACAACTTCTATTCAGTCTCAACCTCCCCCTTTTGGGGAAGGCTGTTGAGAGGGTGGCTGGGAGTCAACCCCAAAGGAAGGAGATTGGGACCCTTTCGGTGATGATTTAAGCCCAGCTGTTGGATGAAACAATATTGGTCACTCTGGTAATGATCCCTGTTAGGAGCGCACTTCTCCTGGTCCTATGAGATCTCTTAGCATTATATACCATTGACATGCTATCTTAGCAGGCTGCGTGCAAGGGTTGCTAGTCTGGGGAGTAGAGTGATCCAGCCCACGGTTGTCCCCCGTGGGGTGCCACAGGCCTTGGCCCTCTCTTCCGTATTATTTAGCATCTACAGGAAGCTCCTGGGAGAGAAAGCCATCAGTTCAAAGCGAGGTACCATCAGCGACCAGGCCAGCGATGCTGTGGGGGTCCTGAACTGGTGCCTGGATACTATCAGGGTCTGGATGGGGAGAAACAAGCTCAGATTAACCCCTAGGAAAACAGAGCTGCACTTTGTCCACCAGCATCCTAGTCTCCCTGAAACATCAGTTAAGCTGTGGCTCCGGATGGACCCAAACACATTTTACAGGAGCAGGTCCATGACTTGAGGATCTTCCTGGCCTTCCAGGCCCTGCCAACAGCAGGTGGAAGCTGTGTCAGGTGGGCCTTTGCCCAGCTGTGGCTGGTGTGCCAGTTGCAACTCTCCTCGGATCAGGGAGACCTTGAAACAGTAACCCATGCCGTCATCACCACACTTTTGGACTCCTGCAATACGGTCCAAAGGCAAAGCGCACGTTACTGTAGCCCAGTGGTATGGCGAAGCTCCAGTTAGCCTAGAATAGAGCCGTCACCGGGCTGAGGCTGGGAGGAGGTGCTTCTCCATCGTGTCCCCGTGTTGTGGACAGCCTTTCTCTGGAAGCCAAACCTGCTCCAGCAGGGTCAACCTTCCAGAAGCAAGAGGCCAGCGAGTAACGCACGGACGACCCCCGAACTAGGCTGTGCCTTTGGTGGAAGGTGGGTGGGCTCGGGACATCTCCTGCAGCGACAGCAGCTGCCACACTGGTGCCTGGCCTCCTCTTTTTGCCCCCAGGATGTGAACGATCGCTGGAGCCTGCAGTTCCCCCAGCTGTATGCGCCTGGCCAGCAGAATTTGTACTTCAACAAAAAGGAATTTGCCAAGTGCATCATGTACAGCATATACAGCTCTCTGGTGCTTTTCTTCATCCCATACGGAACCATTCTTGACTCTGTACGGAGTGATGGGAAGGACGCTGCTGATTACCAGTCCTTCGCCCTCATGGCGCAGACCTGTCTGCTCATCGTGGTGTCGGTCCAGGTACTGGCTCCTTGTCCTGTGGCCCCCAGGCCCTTTCCCCAGTTCCTGAAGTCCAGGTAAACTGATTCAGCACCAGCACCCCCTCGGTATGCCCACAGTCCGCTAAGCTGGGCAAAAGCAGGTGTAGAGTTAAGTTGGCAGGACCCAGCCGTGGTGGCCTGCATTGGTACCGAGGGTGTCCGCGCACGAAGGGTGGGAATTCAGGGCCAGGAAAGCAAAGCCCCGTCGCCCTGCTCCACCTGAGTGGTGAGTGCTGAGGGTCAGCTGGCTCTTGGTGTGCATGGCTTTGCTCTACCAGAGGAGAGGCAGCGCTTGGGTGGGGTGGGGGGTGAGGGCAGTTGGCCCAGTTCATGGAGAGGGTCGGGGTCCCACCCGGCAAGGGCATCAGCAAGCCTGTCTTTTGTAGATGGGCTTGGACACGGCCTACTGGACGGCTGTGAACCAGCTCTTCATCTGGGGCAGCCTGGCAGTCTACTTCGCCATCACCTTCACCTTGTACAGCGACGGCACGTACCTGACGTTCACGTCCTCCTTCCCCTTCGTCGGTACGTACGCGGGGCGTCTCCCGTTCTTGCAGAAGCTGCGGAGAATTCAAGGGGCTCCCGTTAATGCTGGAGGATGCTGGTCCCTGCAAGGCGCTTAGCCTCAGGGGCGGGGCAGCCCCAGGGGGGTTGCCAGCGGCTACGTTCCCGGGGTCAGCTGAATGAACCCGGTTGCCTGCAGTCGCCCTGAGCCACGAATCGAAGGGCATCTTCGCCTGGTGCTCTGCGTGACCCCAGCCGGGCGGCACTGCCAGGGAGGGGGATCCGCCCCGTGCCTTCCAGACAGGCATGGTGCAGGGCCTTCCATGTCCTCCATTCCCAGGCACGGCCCGGAACACCCTCAACCAGCCCAAGGTGTGGCTCTCCGTCTGCCTCTGCGTGAGCCTCTGCGTCCTGCCGATCGTCGGCTTCCGGTTCCTGAAGATGCAGCTCAAGCCAACCCTCAGTGACAAGGTACTCCTCATGGCCCCGGAATTTGGGCAGCTGTGGGCCTCCAGGAAGCCCGGGGCGGGGCCACCCCACCTGTCTTCCCCTTGGCCTGTGGCGGTATGCCACTGCCGCCTGCCCCATGCTGAGGCCGGTCAGAGGGCTGGCAGTCAGTCGGGAGCCACGCCTGGACGACCAGCGCAGATTATGCAGAAGGGGAGCAGGGGGAAAAAGGCCTCTTTAGAAGGGAGGGGGAGCGCCTCTTTCTGCCGACCTCTGTCCAGTGGCAAGAGGTCTGCCGGCAGATTCTAAGGGAATTTGTCTACTAAAGTCTTCTCCTGTCTTTTATTCGGGAGCTCATGGCAGCGTATGCAGCCCTCCCTCCTCCACTTTTCCCCACAACAACCCTTTGGGGTAGGCTGGGCTGAGCAAAAGGGCCTGGCCCAAAGGAAGGCTCCGTGGCTAGGGTGGACTGCAGCCTGGTCTCCCCACCCCCAGCCCTGCATGGCTCTGGCCTCTCTGGGGATGCGTTTGTGGCTCTAAAGCAGGGTTCCTCAACCTTGGCAACTTTAAGATGGGTGGACTTCAACTCCCAGAATTCCCCAGCCAGCAAGGGCTGGGATTTCTGCCCTGCCCCAAAAGCAGCTGCTGGCGCTTGGCCACCCATCCAGAGCACCGCTGTGATTCACCTGCACACTGGACAAGACACCTGCCAGGCAGCCGCCCTTTCCGCAGCTGGCATGGCTGTCGTGTGGTTCTGCTGCCCCCTAGTGATCCTTTGAGGGCAGAGCTGGTCCTGTGGGTGCCGCCCTCCTCTCTCCAGCATCGCTGAGTTCTTAGAAGCTGAGAAGAGGAGCCCGGCAAGGAGGAGGTCGGAGAAACACTGCTGGACCGGACGCCTCGGCCCTTAAGGCTGCCCCCTCTTGCTCCCAGGGCACAAAAGCTCTTTTCCAGGCAGAGGAACTACAGGTTAAAAAGTGCTCAGGTAGCCCCTGGGCCTCCACAAATGCCAGGCATCCCATCTG